ATGGTAATTACTTGCCGTCTACACCATTAAGAATTTAATGTAATTTCAGATACCCTTTCCTGGGGGGGGGGGGGGGCGAGAGATGGGGAACGAGAGGCTGCAATGGTTGAGCTAACTGCAGGCCATTTCTATCTATACGTGTTTAACAAAAAACATCTGCAAGACAAATTCAAGACATATTTGGAATCCAGCTTCAGTTACCATTACATTTGTGCAGCCCCAAATGTATGATGTCCTTCATTCTTAATGATGTATTTTTAATAACCTGCATGTTGTAGGAAGTAAAGGACGCTAATCCCTGCGGTTACAAAGGGTTCACGAAGCAGATTGAAGCCAAGTAACCCCTCCACTGTCCATTCTGCACTGGTCTGAAGACTGGCTGTCAGCAGGATTACTGCAACAGGAGGTGATCAGCCATGTAGAAAAGCTGTGAAGGGTCTCTGTCTGGGTGACCCCCCCCTTGCAGCTGCTACTAGCCACGTGAAAATCAGAGCAGGGTTTACGTAATGAGATAGATTTCTAAATGACACCCTTGAAGGTTAAAAACAATTACTGTTGGGGTCATTGGGAGGATCATGTTGGAAAGTGGAACATATAGATCAAATTGCTATTTGATACTGTACAGTCGGATCTGGATTTACTGACTGCAGAGGAAATTGCTAGGGTTGCTGACAAAAGCAGCAGATTTATATTTCAGCAGTCTGTACAGATAAACCACTTATGTGGATATAATCTGAAATAGACTGAAATATCAAAACTATTGGATAAATGTCCTTAAAATGTGGTGCTGCCTTCTTTTTCTTTTGGCATTATATGGTAAAACAGTTAATTTCCCCATCTTGTTTAAGAATAAGAATAGAATTTCCATTATCTTTAGCTGAACTGTTCGTTTAGTGCTAAGTTGCCGAGATGCTATGATGCTTGCTAACATGCTAAACTAAGATGGTAAACATGGTCAATATAACTACATCAGAATGTTGACATTATTATTGATATATGTTTGCTCACTGTTGCTAACCTTGAGCTCAAGTACAGTGTCACAGCACTGCTAGCAGTCCAATATCAACAACTAAAAATGTAACCATAATGATGTTTCCTTAAATTCAGAGCTCCAATTACTAGTAACAGCACAAATGACATATCATTCATAGTTGAAATAAGGCTTATTATTTCATAGTGAATGTTAAATATGTGCATCTGTGCACATGAAATGTGATGTTATGATCAAACCTTTACATTTATTAACCAGAAACTTTGTATGTTATTTCACTCGGGAGCATACTCTATCATCATAACAGCTGTGGGGAAGCCATAATAGGCCTAAAGGCCTGTGTGAGTGTTATGTGTTTCCTGTCTCAACATGCTGTTGGAAAATTACTAGTGGAAAGAGTCAGAATGGGTAAAAGAGAAAGGTGATACAGTAGAATTAAACCTCCATTGTTATTATTGCAATTAATCATATGCTGTAATTGTTTGCTCAGTGTAAAAAAATACATGTAAAATGTTAGCGAAACCATCTCGTGTTTTGTGTCACTTGGCTGCACAAAAACATTGCCTGGGCAGCTGACTTATTTATTGTAGGCAGAAATGGAATGCACCACCAAGGAAGTTTGATCATGACATAGCACCAAGCGGGCCAAAGGATTCTTGGGGAAGGTTGAAAAAACCTGTCCCCAAAGAAACCAAAAAGTGAAATACTTGAGTGACATATTTTACACAAATGTTCTGATACTTTCATTCACATCGAAGGTGTAGAAAGACTATCCACCTTTATCTTTGATCCAAAACTATCATTCTCATCACTGAATTGAGCTGCGACAATAGGGCAAACTTTCAGAACATTTCGAAATGTTTTACTCGTCTATAAGAAAAAGTATCTTACACGGACAGATTGCAACACAATGCAGCAGCACCCATGAATTGAACTTTCTGCTGACAGTGTTAGTTCGAAAAAGTAATATCTGTTTATCTCCATCTCTCTCTCTCTCTCCTCTCTCTCTCACTCGTCTCTCTCTGCTCTCACTCTCCATCTCTAGTCTCCTCGTCTCTCCGGCTCTCTCTCTCTCTCTCTCTCTCTTCTTTTGATATTCGTGACACACACAAACACACATATTGTTGGTATAAACACGCTTGTTGTATTAATCTCAAACATAATGACGTAAAAATAAGGGCCCTTTTGAACCTGTTAAAGATGTTAAAACATATTGCGTGACAAACTGCTCTTCCAAGAAATGTTTGTCATTTTGAATCAACAATGTAAGCCAGTTACACAAGTTGGTTTTACATTATTTTTGTGGTATTACAGCACTACGTTTTTTTTACCTGCCACAAGGGACGTAACTGTGTGCATATGTATGATTATTATCTTTAAGCCTATTTGTGTAATGCACAGTTCCGCCAGAGGTGATTACTGAGGATTAGCTGAGCTGCTTCGAGCTCCTGATGTGCTCTCTGTGCTTACATGACATGCTTCTGTCCGGAAATGATGATTATAACTTGAGAAGCTGCTTGTGTGAACACATTCTCAGCACAGGTTTGTTGGCATGTTTCCTATTATGTAAGTCTTACCTGAGTCAAACAGGTTTAAAAGGAAACATAATACAACTGAGTTCCTCACTTGGGAGTGTGCGTGATTAACAGGAATACAAAAAGTGCTTAAGCCTTTCTGTCCACACAGCTTTCATAGCAAACACACAGGCAGGGGGCGGAGTAACATGAGCTTCGTGGAGCTCAAAGCACTATTAATTAATCTGTTTTATTAAACCATTTTCACATTTTTCATGGGTGATATTTACAAATGTTGTTGTTGTATTAATAGTACAGTAATGGCCAATGCCACTCAAGAAAGATGAGAAATATTGCTTGGAATAAATAGAATTGATCCTGAAATGTACCAGACCGAAGCATCTGTAGCCAACAGGCAGCACAGTGTCTTTGGGACTCTGTGTGTTTCCTCACCAGCTCTGACCTATGCAGGTGATGACAGCAACAACACAGGCTCTCAGGCTTTTGATCTTATATGTTTCATCTTGCTCTGAGCTACAAATGTAAAGTTAATTCATACACCAGATGTAATCTTGTCTAAGTATTATTGCAATCTAAACATGACTCAATTTGACTAATTAGATATTTAATATTCATACTGTTGGGAAAAATACTGAATGTACTCTTGCCTAATAGTCAGAGTAGCAACGTGATAACAAAAAGGCCCTACGTAGCTGTGTACTAGCCGGATGTATGACTACTGGATGACGCTCATGAGACACTGTGTTGAAGTTATGATAGCTAAGTTCCTAAGATTGGCAATGATGACACAGCCCCTAGAGATAGGCATATGACTGTCATGTTTATTGCCTTACGCAGGCCTTAGCTAATCTTAACTAATGTCAGAAATACTGCTTGAAACCAGTATTCTTCCATGACTTCTTGACTGTATCCTCTCTTGTATAAAGCATATCAAGGACTTCTACTCTGGGAACTATTTTGTCCCATGCAGCCCTGGTGTGTGAGTGACTACTGCTTCCATTCTTGCAAGGATAATAAAATACATGTATCCTGATATTGAAGACCAGCCGGTGACGAGTGATATTTTTCATAACACATACACTACTCAAAGAGGTTCTCATTGATATTTTTTCATTATACAGTAGGTGTTAACCAATCAGTCTTACTTTTGACCATTTACTGTAACTGTTATGTATATTCCATACACATTATAGGAATTTGAACAGAAGCTTGAAAATCACAATGTTATCAATATTCTTAAACATTTAAGCATTTTAAAGGTCACCTATTTTGCAAAATCCACTTTTTCATGTCTTTTATACATAAACATGTGTCCCCTCTGTGTAAAGAGATTCTGAAAGTTTGTCATAACGTTTTTTTGGGTTGTATAACCATTAGCCAATAACCAACCAAGGTAACACCCGCCCACCTTATCACCTGAATCTCCTCCTAGAGCACCATTGTGGGTTTTTTAACCAAATATCTCTCAGAGGGGCGTGGGGAGTGGCCCCTTATTTTCATCTAAAGTAAAAGACAGAGAATCAGCACTTTTGAAACAGGCTGAAACAGAGGGGTTTATGGGATGCTACAATGCATGATCTGTTTGGTATTTCGAGCCAAACCTTCAGAAGACATGTTTTGTATATATCTGAGACCTATAATATATTGATGAAAAACAGTATAATAGGGGACCTATTATAAGATATCTGTATTATAATTAGTTGTTGTCCAGTGTTGGACTGTGCATTAAACAGCCTGTCAATCAACCTTAGAGTTAGGAATATAATGGATTGTGCCTTTAATCTTTACTTAATATCAACAAAGAGCTCCATACACATACTATGGAAAATATGTAAAGTAAGTGATTTCAATACAATATAGGATCCAGTGCGTTATAAAAAAAATAAGTATCTTTTAATAATATACTTAGATTTTCTTTCACAAACACCAATTATGTTTTCACGACACATTGAGATTTGCATTATTGCACTGATTGCATTAAGAAAATAATCAAACTTGAATCAGATTTGTGACAGAGAAATCGTTTGGACATCCAAATTTGTTTTTTGCAGAACCAAAACATTTAAAGATTTCACATGCGTGGTCAGTACCTACTGTGAACTTTTCTGAAGCTTTCAAAATCATGAAATGGAAAAATAACTCATATATATTTTATACATACAGTATATCACTTAAGGTGGGGTAGGTCATTTTGGAGAAACCGGCTCGAGTGCGCTAGAATTTGAAAATACACAACCGGAAAAAAATCTGCCACTTCCCTTACAGAGCCTCTCCTCCAACACACAAGAACGTGCACATGACCAATGATGGCACGAGATGAAGTTTGTGCACAGATAGAAGTGCTGACAGGCAGGTAGGCCTCCAGTTATTTTAGCCGGGGCCGGCTAAAATGATTGGTCGTGCTTTTTACAGTACTACGGCTTCACAGATGACATTTTTTTATGGATTTTTTTGTCAAAAGCACTTCATTGCTAATCGGGAAGTGTATCTCGAGCCGGTTTCTCAAACTTACCCTACCCACACCTTAAAGCATTTAAATATATTGCAAAACTATTAAGTGGGAATTAAAGTTAAGTTGTTTAATCCACATTTTTAGTTTTAAAAAATGACTGCTTATAGCATTTGTGCATACTGTGTTACAGTTATAGAGCTTGATGTACTGTATATTGACGCGGGGAGTTCTTTAAATATTACAAAATACAACGCCTTGAATAAAGTCATACATCTGACTAGCCTTTTCTGTACCAATTCCAGATTAAAAATGCAATTTTTCTAAAACAACAGTGGAGAACGAAAACAGTTTTGTGCCTTAAATTGTCCTTTGCCTTTCTCGTGCAGTGCAAAAGTTTGATATAAAATTTAAAATTGTTTTTACAATATTTACACAAGACCTTATATTCAGTTTTCTTCAATTAATTGCTCTTTTGATTTGAAATAAAGCTGTTATTTCTCTGATGCTAATAATGATTAATTCCTTACTTTTTTTGACACTCCACGTCTCGTTAAGTGTCATGTTTTATAGATATTATAAAACATGGAAAAGTGAATGGGACTGTATGGCCTAGGAGAGGAACCAATGGCATCTAAATCAAACTTCACACTGCAGTAATAACAATAATATAACAAAAAGCAAAAAGAGCAACTTCATGTTAGAACTACACTTCTCACAGTGAGATTTGTAAACATTCATGTAAACAGTGGTGTTTTTGGATGTGTGGACAACTGGAAATCAGATGTTAGATATCGGCCTGAGCTTTCTGTTTACACCCTGAATCGAGTCATTCTTCTTTTTCAAAGGTCTCTCCACTTCTGATCCTTTCTTTCGCTGCTTTTTAAATCTTTTACAGCATATGTAAGATGTCAGAGTAACAACTGTGAAGAAAAGTCCTAGACATGTCACAGAAAGAGCAATAAGGACAGGCTGACAGGGGAACAACTCATACCTCTCAGGCCCCTGTGTCATCTGGCCTTTAAACCAGGGCCTCTCCTCTACCTCAATCCCAGCCTCCCTGGTCAACAGGCTCTGGATGTAGCTCTCGTTGCTCACAGTTTCATTGACAAAGAAGTTAACCATGACTGTTGAGTAAAGCGGTTCAGGCTGACCATGATCAGTGACCTTCACCAGAAGGCTGTAGAGGCCCCGATTGCTAAGCTCCCTCTTTAATGTGATATTTCCTGTTCTGGGTCAATGGCAAATGACCCTGGCTCTCCCCCTTTCCTCTTAATGATACTATAGGCGATCACAGCATTCATTCCTGTATCCTTATCCACAGCATAGACTTCTGTTATTGATGTTCCTGGTAGTGTATTGGGTAAAACCAGCATGTAAGACTGATTGGACTGGGGGAAGAGGACAATAGGTGGGTTGTCATTTACATCCAACAACAGCACTGTGACCATAGTAACGCAGGACAGAGCAGGCTCTCCACCATCGACGGCCTCTATCCACAGCTGATATGTCCCTTGTTGCTCACGGTCCAGTGAGGTCTTGGCCCTCAGTGCCCCTTTGCCTGTGTCTATCAGAAGATGTCGCTGCCATTGAGGATGGACAGGCCACCAACCATTTTCCTCAGCATCGGCATCAGTCACAGAGAGGACACCGATTCACCATATCCCGGGAAGTTCTCTGGCACAAAGAAGTGAAGTCCTTATCGATGAAGCGTGGACTGTTTGTCTTGCGGTCTTGCACAGTCAACACACCTACAGTTGCAAGCGACTCTCCCTCCTGGGTGTCCCCCTGGTCTATACGGCTCTCACTATGAAACGGTAGGTCTCTTTCTCCTCACGGTCCAGCGATGTGGTAACAGTCAGACACCTGTCACACGATCTATCACAAGATCCCTGGGGCGTCTCCTCCAAGAAGGTAGATGACTTCCCCTCGACCTTCGCTGTCCTGGTCTGTGGCTTGGAACTGGGTCAGAAAGGTATTTGGCGGATTGTTCTCTTCTACAGATACTTCCACCAAAGCCTGCTGAAACACTGGTGCATTATCATTCTCATCCAATACTTGCACCTTGAGGAAGGTCTTGATGACAAGCCCTTGAGAACTCGTAGCAACCACAATTAGCTCATACTCCTGTGTCTTCTCATAATCCAGAGGCTCTGTAGTTTCCAACAGGTATTCATTCTTCAACGTTTGATAAGGGCCAAGCCTGAAGGGACCAGTCCCTTCTAAATGACAGTCCACTCTTTGGTTAATATCAATATTTTTGACAGTAAAAAAAGCAATTGGAGAAAAGGCTGGCTCAGATTCCTTTATTGTCAACTCCCCATCATTTTCCGGTGCAATGTATCGGGGAATGACTGCAGGGGGTCCAGTAACAACCTTGATGATATGGACAGAAACAGTTGCAACTGCAGGGATACAACCAGGTCCATTGGCAAGAATGGTAAGTTTGTAAAACGTGGCTGTACCGGTGTTTATCTTCCCAGCTAGCTTGATCACTCCTGTGATCCTGTCCAAATGGAACAAGCTCCTGGCGTCCCTTGGCACACGTTCACTGTAAGCATAGCTGATCTGAGCATTAGCACCAAGGTCAGGGTCAAAAGCATGCAGACGTGCCAAATGTCCCCCTTTGGTGGTATTCCCATGCAGAGTGACATTCATTTGTGACTCTTTGAATTTGGGGCAGTTATCATTCACATCTGTGATGACAATTTTCAAAGTAGCTGCTCCAAGAAGAGGAGGGGTCCCACCGTCCTCTGCTATGATATCTGTTATATATTCAGCCTGGGTCTCTCTGTCCAAAGCCTCAGTCACAATGAGGAAGGGAGTCAGCTCGCCTCCCTCATTCTGCTCTACATCAAGTGTGAACATTCCAAAGTCATTAACAAGCCAGTAGGTCTGCACTCCATAAGGACCCAGGTCCGGGTCAACTGCAGAATGCTCCACCGCAAACCGAGCATTGATGTGAGTGTTTTCTGGGACAAACATACAGATCTCATCCACAGGAAACTTAGGCCTGTTGTCATTCACATCCTCTATAAATATCTTACTTTGACAAGCTGGAAGTGCTGCTGAGGCAACACAAACACATCCAGTGAGAGGACACATCCCCTTCCCCCCGGAGTTATCAGGACAGAGAGTCTCCCTGTCAATCTCTGTAGCAGATGTGTAAAGCTGCCCGGTCGTGCTATTAAGGTTCACATACTGTCCATTGACCTTCTTTTGTGGAAGATTGAATAAAAAGGGGGGGCTCCACCGTGAAATCCAAATGTAAGTCTTCTCCAATGGCACCTATGAAGGTTCCTCCTGGCAATCCCTCCTTTATCTTATAGATCAGCTGTTTTGCTTGGCTGAAATTTGCAAAACAGGAAGGAGGGCTGGTGTAAAGCAAGATCACCCACAATCCCTGAAATACAAGATAATTAAAGATAATACAGTTTAATAAAAGTTACAAATTATAATAGACAAAATAAGATATTCCTGTGTGTCATCCAACAATCCCGAATACAAAATACAATAATACAAATATACAAATATGTACACAAATACATATTTATACATATTTGTGTACATATTTGTATATTTGTATTATTGTATTTTGTATTCGGGATTGTTGGAAACTTTATTTCGATCTCTCTGTCTGTACAAACACACAGAAAAATTGACATTAAAGTTGACTTTGACTTTGACTTATGACATTTGTAATAAAAAACGATATTAGCAGTTGCAGAACTGCAACAATGATTTGAATTGTTATTATTACACTTCAATCATTAGGACTATAATTTAAGCAAATAAATCCATGACATTTCATTGTTGAAAGTTTAAGGTTTATTTGCAAGTTTTAGCCATAACATTGGAAATGAGAATAAAAACGATATAGTGTAGTGTAAGAGGGGCTAGTCATGTATCAGCATTAATAATAAAGCAAAGATAGTGTTCACAGTATTATAAAAGGTACTTATAGTTGTGTTAAAGTAAATTATGGCATTAGAATAATTTATTATAAAACTTACCCATATTACTCCTCTTTTGCTAAGGCTGGGGTGTCTTCTGTTGAACATGTTTATGTCCTAGTCCAGTACCTTCCACTTATGGCAGCAAGAGTGACAGCTTCAGTGACTTAGGCATTTTGAGCGTTGAGCAGCGCAGACCTCAGCTGAGTGCTATGCCTTATTGCTATCTGACTTGAACAAGTCATTCATCCCAGTGCTGGCTCAGGACACTCCCACCATATGCAAATCAGCTCCGCATGCTAACCAATGAGAGCCAATGGCCACTGGGAAATCTACTTGAGTTCACAGATTCCACTTTCATGTTGCTTTCAAAGCACATCAACACGCACCTGCACTTTCTACACACCCATGTTGTCACAATCAGCTGCATACCTTGTATTCCTGTGGCAGATAGAAAGCATATGATTACCAAGTGAGCTTATCATGACACGGAAGACAGGGCAGAGATGTAAAATATCCACAGCATGGAGATTACTTTAATTCAGCCTTAGTTAAAAAACACCACAGATGAAAAACATTGCACAGAATGAATTAAGACAAATATATAATGATACTATGACCATGCATAATGTTTCTCACAATCAACCAATGACACATCTTTGACTATTGATTACAAAATGTAATTATAGATAGATAGATAGATAGATAGATAGATACGATAGATAGATAGATAGAATAGATAGATAGATAGATAGATAGATAGATAGATGATAGATAGATAGATAGATAGATAGAAGATCGATAGATGATAGATAAATGGATGGATGGTAGATAGATAGATAGATAGATAGATAGATAGATCGATAGATAGATAGATAGCTAGATCGATAGATAGCTAGATAGATAGATTATGGATAGATAGATAGCTAGAAGACGACCGACAGACAGACAGACAGACAGACAGACAGATAGATAGATAGATAGATAGATAGATAGATAGATAGATAGATAGATAGATAGATAGATAGATAGATAGATAGATTAGATAGATAGATAGATAGATAGATAGATAGATAGATAGATATGGATGGATGATAATGATAGATAGATAGATCTCTAGATAGCTAGATAGATAGCTCGATAGATAATAGATAGATAGATAGATAGATAGATAGATAGATGGATGGATGGATGATAGATAGATAGATAGACAACAGACAGACAATAGATAGATAGATAGTAGTAGATAGATAGATAGATAGATAGATAGATAGATAGATAAAAAGAAAGAAAGAAATATATAAAAACATTATAAAACAAAGCCAGCAGATAGGTGATCTTGGCATCATAAGTGGAGCTATGGTCTGATTCTGGATTGAGCCTTTACTAAATCAACCCCCTAATCCTCATGTGTTCTAAATGCCGGGCCAGCTGTTTGCTTCGGGATTGGAAGCATACTGCTCAGAGAAATTGAGTTCTCTGGAAAAGGGCGGATTGAGACAGTCACACACACTCATTCTTTCTCATACTGCGTTAGGTCTTTGCTGTCATTACTCATCATAAGGATCTGGTGGGTGGACAATACTGCAGCCTAACATCCATGCGTTCTCTTTGTTATTTGGTCAGACTTATAGAAATAGACCAAAGACCCAGTACTTTCATGAGGCACGTTGCATAATATACAGTATATTTTAGTGATGTAGATAGATAGTAAACTAACATGGATCATCTACAAATCCATGTTGCATCCAGAGTTTTTATTGGTCCATGTGATGAGCTCATAGAAATTCTGTAAACACAGTGTAGGCACGGTAGGCTTGGAGGCTTTAGAGCATGGCAAACAGCAGATCAGGAAAATGAGAGTAATTTGAGAGCTGCCTCGAGTGCTGAGGGTCTGAGATGTTCAGCTGCTGATCATCATTGAGGAGTCAGTACAGAGCAGTTACTTTAGATTTACACATCAGAAACAATAGGATAACTACTTAGGTTTGTACTCACATTTTGTTTAAATATACAGCAATAAAGAGGGTTTAATAGTCTCTGCTCAATGGTGTCTGCAATGCATCCCACATCGTCTTATTTTCTCCATATATGAATGCATATTAAGGATAAAATGTGCAAAATATATTTGATCAATATAAGTTGTGAAGTAGTTATCACAAGTGACACAATGTCTTTGCCTTCAGCTCGATTATACAATAATACCAATTCTTACAAAATGCAGAAAATGTGTGATTTCTTCAGGGCTTGAACAATAGTGTTTATTGTGGTTCATTAAATGTGTCAAGATTATCAAGAGACACAATTATCTTGTGTTGCTAATCACACCTTTCATATTGCACATTTAGAGAATTATAAAAGAGACAACTTAGCATCTCAAACATGTTGTATGTTACAGGCTATTGTGGGCTTTAAATTATTTACACTGTAGCAGTTGCAATACCAGGAGCTGAGACACAAAGGCCAGGGATGCTTTGTGTGTCTGTCAAACCTGATACTGTGACATCTGTGACTGTTAATCCCCTTTCTTGCCCTAACAACTTTTTATAAACTGGTCAACATGCTGAGGGACAGGGAACAATTATTAAAAGTGGTATAAAATGACAGAACATTACAAATGTTTTTTAGTTGAACAGCAAATAGGTTCCTATGATTTCAATGTACTGGTTTCAAATCCAACAAATGTATTTTCTTTGTTTCTGTCACCCTCAATTGATCTTATAAAACAATTTATATTACATTTTTGTTTGAATTTTCTTTTATTATTTATCTGCAAAGTATAAACTCATATTTTAACAGCTCTAAAACTTGTGACTTGTGTTATATTACATTTTTTACATTACATTTAATTTAGCTGATGCTTTTTATCCAAAGCGACTTACAATTACCAATTACAGGGACATTCTCCCTGGAGTAACTAAGGGCTAAGTGCCTTACTCAAGGGCACACTAGTGGTGGTGTTCCTGGCGGGATTTGAACTCACTCCACTAACTTCATTTGTAAATGTCAGTGATGGTGACAGCATCTCTCAACCTTGGTGGCCAGACATAAAAAGTACTACAAAGGTTGAGTAAAGCCAAGAGGCAGTTATGTTGGTTTTAATTATGTAATGTCCTGCTCCGAGTCAGTAAGACATGAGTTTGGTAATCTTTGGCCAGATTTACCAACAGATGTCCCGTTAACCTTAGTCTTTTATTTTAATCAAAGTTCTGCTAAGCTATCTTGATAGCTAAAAGACAGCCTCATGGCTGTTAAGTAAGATGGATATGACCACACAAAAGTATTGTGTCAAGAGATACAGTAGCTTGATCAACTGTTGAATCTGTGTAAAATCATTAAACATTATCAGTGCAACAACAGTCCAAACAAAATATCTTACAATAATTTATTTTTTTATTTTCAAAATGGTGCAATATACATACGTTTTACTTTTAGCTTCCTAAAGATCTTGCGTTCTTGTTTTTGACATCAATGCACATGGATTCATTTAATTTCCTTTACAGCCATACCATACTGTATTGATAATCTGTCACATTTTTTTACCTGGTGGAGTCAGTCTCCCTTCGGCCTCATCAGTAATTTATAATGTATGTGACATTCACAAAATACAAATTAACCAAAGTGTCATTTTTGAAAAATGCCACAGCCAGTAAATGTAGTGAGTTTTTGGGCCAGCTGGAATCGCTGTTTCTACAGTATTAAACAGTTGCAGAAATCTGCATCCCAGCTTTGAGTTATTTATAATGAAATGTCTCTAGAATCGATTCACAGCAGTCAGACATAATTCCTCTATAACATCTAATTAATCAAACCTGCATTTCTCGTGTTTATCGCAAAACAATAATTGCTGCAAATTGAACACAGATTTCAGTTTAATGGAGTACCACACAATATCTGTAAAGACAGCCTATTCCACAGAGCAGAAAACTCCTTCAGTGATCATTTATTATGTCAGATTATGTCAGAGTTAAGCGTATGCCAGGGGAGGTAGCAGCTCTGCTTTACTTTGCAATAACTGGATGTGTAATGGGTGCTATTAGCATGAAGATATATCCTTACTTAGTCCCAGTATTACATTTTAGCACAAAGAGGCAGATGTAAAAGAGTATAAGACAATAAATAAACCCCATCTTTATTTTTTTGAAACTTGAAGCAACATTTACACACTGCAGCTGCATCCTCCTGTCTGAAGGAGATATACTTCACTATTCCCCCCTGCATGATCAGATCCAGGACAGCTTTTCTTTATATTTCTAGAGATACAATGAACTTGTCTTTGTATAAATGTGTTCACAGGTTTACTTCATTAAGTAGTCAGCCATATGTGTTCTTGCTCCGTCACTGCCATCTACTGGCTGAATCGACATAAAAGGTCACATATACCTCTGAGTGTAGTGCAGTATCAGTGTGTCATATTACAGACCCATAAAGATTTATTTCATGTTCCTAGTTGGATCTAAAACAAAAAATGGGACTAATCTACACCTTTGTTTGTGTTGGCCTTGTTCTACAGCTGAGAACTAGAGAATTAGATTAGTATAAATGTGAGGGTTGAGTCAAGGGCTGAACACTTGTAGAGGTACTTATTCCTGATGTGGAAAGGTAGAAAGGAAAAATGCTTAAAACTGTATTGGCGGCTTGCCATCATAAAACCAATTTTGGTGTAAAATGGAACTGTCCTAATGGAATATTACACCACACAATTTCTAAACCCCAAAGGTCTATTTATATTAACTGAAAAAATACTGCTCTGCCTTTTTATTTTTCCTCCTCGCACCTCCCCGGGTGCTCCTCTCCTCCACAGTTTTCTCCCACTACTTTTCTCCCTTTCTGCTGTTGCCGCTGATATACTGTAGATGCATCCTGGCACGAATGTGAGAAAGATCATCTGGAGGAGTGAGACAGAAACAGAGAAAAAGTGAAAAATAACATGAAAACCTTGTGAGCTTGTGTTTGATAGGCAGACAGAGCGAGAAAAAGATGGTAAGATAGCAGGAGCCGGTTAAACCTCGGAGTGGTGTGAGTGTGGCTTTGTGCCTCTGCAGGTGCAGGCTGGATATATTATTGAGAACAGGTGCTATGCTACAATGTAGGCCCCTCACAGCTGCAGCCAAGGAGATTACTAGCCAGGCTTCCCAGTAATGAAGTTTCTATCGATTGGCCCACCACAGGTTCTTGTTTCTGCCTGCTAACAGTGTAACTATTTCAGAGCC